AAAAAAAAACCAAAGATATTTATTTGGCCAATCTCAAAAGAAGCAGCCAATCTAGTGAAGCAATCGATCACGACTCTAAAACGTGTAGCTTGCTCTAAGCGCCAGAGAAACGTGTGTGAACGGGTCACGTTTGGTCTCATTTCTGATTGGACGAGATATTGGCAAATGCAAATTACATTTGATCAACTTCTCTTGATAAAAACCATTCTAATTCTCTACTTTCCTGCTTCTAATATCAGTTTTACGTGTTGCAGCATTTAAGTCGCCAAGTGTTCCGGCAGTCCTGACTCATAAGAAGAAGAGGGCGTGGATTCAAGACGGGTCCTTGATTGAGAAAGAAGGATGGCTGCGATTTCAATATTTTGATCCAAATCTATGAGTCATTTCACAGTGCAACACTGACAAATCCTGTCGTGTTGATAATAATAATAATAATAATAATAATAATAATAACAATAATAATACTAATAATTATTATTATTATTCTTATATATATATATGAAAATTACTCGTTAAAAAGAATATCAAAAATTTAAAAATAAAAGTAACAATTTACATCATCGAATATCTTGTTTTCATATCATGATTAAGTTTGTTTTAAAATTATTGATCGTGGTTCCTTAGATCGGCGGAAATCCGGGATAAAAGATAATAAAAATACTAAAATACTGCAATCTAGCTAGTTCGTTACCTATTACAATCGTAAATGTGAAGAATATTGAAAGTTCTAATCCAAAAATCTTGCTAGTCCCCTACCGATTCCAAAGCCCCTACTAATCCTAAATGTGAAGAATATTAAACGTTCTAATCCTAAAATCTTGCTAGTTCCTTATCGATTTCAATTATTAAAGTCGTTAATTGTAATGTTCAGCGGAGCACTTCGTGTATAACGTGAGCCTCTCAAGAATAGCAGCGCAGAGTTCAAGAGGGCGAATGAGACTGGCGCGAATCCATGGCATTGTAGTACTATAGTCCTCTCCCTTCTTGGTTGATAAAAGTTCAGCCAGTCTACTGTGATACCTCTTGCATTCATCTGCCATTCCTCCTTTGGTAGTAAATACCAGTGGAGTAAAGGAACCCTGGTTCGACTTCTAGCACCCCGCTGGCGTACATTCTCTTCTTCCCTCTCTCATGCTGGCGGTAGATTTGGTTTGTGGCCTCTATAAGACTCTGCATTCGGGTAACAACCCCTACCATCAAAAAAGGCAGAGCCTTGCCGCTCCCAGAAGCCACGAACATGAATGCGAGCCGGGCATCCACTGCTCTCTTCGTACCCGGTGTCAGCACTTCTCCGTTTATTTCCTAAAGTACCGGCTCAGTTTGGACGTCTTTGCATAACACCTTTGGCATTTCGGCTTCCAAATAGGCCTTTCCCGATTATGCTAGTAAAACTGGCATTTTATGCTCCTAGAAATTCCGCTTTGGGCCAAAAAAATGCTCAAATTATGCTCGATTCCCAAAATAATGCTACTTTGGTTCCAGAAAACGCTTTGTTTTATTTCAAGCAAAACGTAGAAACTCAGGCATCATGTGTGTATCAGCAACTGGATAATGTGAAAAGTGTTTAATTGTTTGTTTATAAAACTTCTGATACACCCAAAACTTATCCAATGATAAACAGTTAATTAATGTTCGAAGTCCTTAGCGCTTGTTGTACTGTGACATGACCCTGGCCTAGAGCTGAGGTAGTCAACAAGAGCACAATTCTGTTGCTCGTTGAAAGACGCCTCAGTATTGAAATTACTCTTTCTGCCGTAGCAGACGATGGTTGGACAAAGAGAACTTGCTTTACTGCAGAAGCCCAACGAGGAAGTTGCTCTTCGTGCCCACACCACCATTCGACTTTCTTCTCTTCAGTCGGGATAAAAAAAATTTAGCATTTTAAATCTTTTGAGTGCTGAAATCTATGTAGAAGTTATGCAAAATGCTAAATAATGCCAGCAATTCTTTTTACAGAAACAGTATGAAAAAAAAAATGCTTGTTTAATCAAATAATGCCAAAAAAAAAATACTAGCATAATCGGGAAGGGTCGCGCAGCTCATTATCTCTTTGAATAATGAAGCCTCCTCGTCTGCACACCATGGCGTGGTCTACATCAAAAACCTCTCCACACGCACAAGTGGACGGGGTGTCGCTTATTTGCCTAACATATCTCAAATGAATGGCGTCCTTGAATTCTGATCTCTCTTATTTAGAGTGAAGTCCACATCTTTAATTGGAATGACTGTAAGCCAGCTAGATGCTCCTTAGTCCTTTCTCCGCAGCAAGGTCGGCAGCTCTCTTAGTTTGTTCACGAAGGGCATCCTTCACTTCCTCTAGCTTTTAATAATAATAATAATAATAATAATAAAAATAACAATAACAATAACAATAACGATAACGATAACGATAACGATAACGATAATAACAATAATAGTAATAATAATGATGATGATAATAATAATGATAATAGATAATAATGTAAATACATTGCTTCGTAGTTGGATGACGGGGAGGGGAAGTGTAGGAGGGAGGGGAAGGGAAGGGGGAGGGGAAGACAACCACCATTTGCTGGCGAAACGTTGAACTGCCCCGAGTCTTTTTGTCTTTGATTGCAGGTTTTGAAATAAATACAGATGTATTTACGACCCATGACATATAATATATATGTATATATATGTATGAGTACCGCATTCCTTTGTTCGATTAGTTTTTTGATTGAGAACTAGGTATGGAGTGTGCCCATGAACAGCTTGTGCGCTACACAACACCCTTCGCAAGCAGATATCAGAACTGTACGAGGAGTCATATGTCTAAAGACTTGGCCACACGGAGACCTACATAGCTTTATTCCTTTCTATTGTAAATACATCTTAGCTTTCTACAATCTCTGAAAATTAACCGTAATAAATATATCTCCTATGCGAACTCTCTGTTTAAACTTTAATGTCGAGGTACATGATGTTGTACGGCTAAATTTGCGTTTATATTTATGTTTTGATGAAAGTATCAATATAATCCTTTCAGGATTATTCTCCTTTAAGGTTATTTTTGATGATAACCAATTAAAAACTAACATTATAAGACAGTGCTTCGTCTTTAAACTCTCTGCACTTTTTCTGTATTTTTTATTGTCCTCGCGGTTTTTTTACTAGACGACTAATAAAGAACTTTTTTTTTTATAAACTTAATTTTCAAACTAAGAGGACATTTATATTCTGTTATCTGGTAGTTTGGGTCAGATAACCGACCACGTCAATGCGTTACCCGATGGTCGCCTTACTAAATAAGTATTCCGAGGGGAATAGTTAACAAAGTAAATCTCTGCTCAATTCCTAAATTAAAAAGCTTGTAAAAACGCTCTCTGGCTAAAGTACTCGCTTGGTTCAGTGTAAAAAACGCGGAAATGACATCCAGCTACGGTAGTTCATTAAAACAAAAGTCCATTGAACTGAACATTCCTGACTACGGTTTTTGCGTTTCGATCAGTGACATTCTTGCTCATGAATCTACACCCTTTCTAATTGTTAGTGTAAAAATGGTCCACTTACGTTGAATCCTATCTTTCATACCACGCAGGCAGGCGCTTTCAGACTAAATGCTGGGTCGAGTAAAGGATTTGTTACAGTAGCAGTCATTACACTACGCAGTGACAGGATAACGCACGTGCGTCACGTAGAGTTAAAATCCGTACATCTCCACTTTCATCAAACAGCAAGAGGGTGATATCATTCGTTGTTTTTGGCACGCAACAAGAGATATTTTTCTGCTTTCGGGGGTTAAGTTTTCCTGCAAATGGCGCAGCTCGTGCCTGGTTGCTGAAGAAATTGATATTGCCTTTGATGTTGAGTGAGCAGTCTCCGCTACAGACTGCAAAATTCAATATCCTTGGTGCGATGATAAAGTCCCAGTTGAGTTTCTCAAAGTCTATTGTGAGTTGTTGTAAGCAGCACGTACTTGTAGGCGTACCCGGGCATTCCTTCGAAACGGCTTTCCGTTTGTTCCTGTTAATGCGGCCTCGCTTCTCTTTGGTGTTGATTGCCAGAAAGGGCTGCAGCGGCTCGCCGTCATCACTCACCCCACCGATCTCTAGAGACCTCGCGCCTTCCACTGCAACATCCAAACTGAGATCTATCTTTGGCTGCTCAGAGAACCATCCTTGAATCATTCCACTGACCTCCACTTTATACCAGCCAGTTGCCTTTAAATGTTCCGAATGAAAGTGTTCTTTTTTGCTCTCAGTTCCTGAAGCTCGGTAGCTCTTGTATAGTTGCAACTCGTCTCCTTTTCTGAGGTCCGGGTTTTCAACTGAGATGGGCGCATGGACGATGTGTATCCATAAAAGAGCTGACACGATCTCCAATGTCGGGTGTATGGGATTCCATTTGAAGATTAAGTTCCTTTCAGTTCCACCGGTTACCGAAACAACTGAAATCAAATATATTTTAGGAAAATTATCTCACTCACATCAATAGCAAATTGCCCCAAATTGCCCCTTTTTCCAACAAGCTCCTCCTTTCCAATAAGCCCCCCCCCCGCCAGGCCTCGGGTGCCGGTTATTTATAAGGGTCCCCTGTTCCAACAAGGTCCCAATAAGCACCCCCATCATTACAGTGGCATTCGTGAGATAGACTAGAGTCTACTTTTCTACAGTCTCATCTGAACGTAATCTTCAACATTATGACAATCAGAGACCCTAGTGTTAAAGTTCTTGAGTTAAGGTCTGTTGTTTTTCATGTCCAAATGTAAATAAGCGCTCCGTCCCCTCTCCAACAAGTACCCTCCCTCGAGCTACTAAAAGTAAGTTAGCGCTTCGGGCGCTATCGTAAATCATAACGCGGGTATCTCGTTACATGAGATAAATGTGTATTAAAGAAATCAGTTCGCGTGAGCATGGAATTTGAATATTGGTGTTTCTCAAACTTGCAGGTTCAGCTGAAACTATTAAACAGCTTCAGTTACATCACACACCGAGATGCCGCCACATGAATACCGACAATGGTGTCTAGAAGTCAAGAATGCTGTGGAGACGAATTCAAGACACGCTTGCTAAACTCATGTTCAGGAAATAACGGTCCGCTGATCCCACTGCGCAAATCACACAGTTACGTTTCTTGATCGATTTTGGATAAGTTTTTTGCGTAGCAAAGGCGTTACAAAATTTAAAAGTTTTCTCCTAAAAAACTTACCTTGCTCGGGAAACAGAAATAGTTGATTAGTTTTTGCAAGGAAGTCATCCTCGTCCAATTCTGAGGTTTGGATAGGCTTGCTGTTTTCTTCTTCTATCAAACGTTTGTAAAACGATGGAACCTTTGGGGCTTTAATCTTGTTAACATTCGGGACTGAACAAAAGCCCAACTCTTTAAGGAGTTTTTTCTTGAATGCTTGTACTGAGACCTTCTCGACATCAGAAAAATTTTGTTCGTGAAATCGACACGTCAGCGATCCGGTGAGCGAAGATAGGAAGATGAGAAGTGTAAAAATCATCAACTGGTTCATTTTACCGGCGTCAAGTCTTCTTTCCGGTTTGATTTAGTAGGATTGCGCTCGTACGGGGAGTAACTCTACAAGCCTCCGCAGTGGTTTTATATTTAGTAACCTAAGGCAAGATCAGCTGCAATTTATGATGATTATAAATGTCATAAAAAATAAACTGATGAAATAAACTGATGACATGCTATACGCAATCTCATTGTTCGGAAGGTGCACCCCTGCCCTCGTCCAGCCTTATATCTGACATATTATCAAACAAAATTTCACAACACATCTTGGAATGCTCCAAATTTTTTCAACTGGCAAGTCGCTCTCGTTTCCGTAAAATACTATAATTCTGTTCTTGAAACAGGGAAAAATTGCCTGGACTATTTACAAAAATAACAGTGGTCTCATTGGGTGGGTTGGTATTGTTGTCTCCAGGTCGGATTTATTGTCTTGACTCAATTGCTAAGTCGCGAAAATATAATCCGTTTGTATTAAGAGAGTGTATTATTTTTTCTGAATAATAGTCGGTTTGCTTTGATTTGACCTCCAACACCCCGCCAGCAATCGTTATCGACCCATGAAAATTTGAGGAATTCCCGAAATTTATTTATTTTTAAGATATATTTGATGATATTATGTTTATGTTATCAGCGAAAAGGTGATTTGTTGAATGATTTCCTAGTTTGGAGTTAATTTAGGATTAACACGTGCTTGGGGTAAAGGTGTTGTTTTTTCCCGCTTTTCCTAATCTATCTTAGGCGCCAAAAATGATAGTGAAATGCAACCAGTCCCAACTGTGACATGATCTTTGTACTCGACAGATCAACTGATTTTATTGTAAAAAAAACTAACCATCGCTTTATTTTATACCGTCATAGACTTGATTAATTTGGACTCCTCGCTGGCAATGATAAGTCAATGATAAGTGCTTTTGTTTGTAAGGGAAAACCTACGTAATACGTCCAGTCAATACTCAAGGCTTTCTGAACTAATTAAGTGCTAAGCCGCTGAGTGCGAAGGCTTGGCTTGGCTTGGGGTATAAGTTTCGTCATTAAACTTTTGTCGTGTCTGGAATGCCTTACGTGGCTGGAGAAGGAGTGTTAAGTCGTACGATTTATGCCGTGTAGTCTTTCGGTCAAATATTTACCGTGGTTTGATATATCTGTGTGAAAAGAAGTTTCAAAAAAGATCTTTCTGTGGTCAGCTAAAAGTAAACATCCTTTGAATGGCTCTGCGAGGAAAATCCAGTAAACGCGTCAAAAATGATAATTTCGTTCATCTTAAGCATGGAAAAGCGTCAGAAGAAATGTTAAGATTGCGGATTAATTGATTGTTTTGAATTAGCAGCGGGATAACAATAATTTCAAGCCGTATCGGATGTTACATAATGCGCTTAATATTGCTTTTTTCAAGTACGCTCAAGGTCCTTACAATAAACTAATATCAGGTTATATATAAATATATTTTTATAAGATAGCAAATGGATTTTTCATGAGGAAATACAGCTGAAGTTGCCATCTAGAATCATGAGGAATCGGTGCTTGGCTCAACGTGGGTTCTTGTACAAGGAATTCTTATTTACATCGGTGAACTTTAAATCCGATTTAAAACTTAACCTCTTTTCAGTTGTAACCATAATCTCTACATCCCTTATACGAGCTTGTGTTGGGAGCCAGAACATTCGGATGTTCAACCGAAATTAGCGATCACGGAATCTTCGTAACTTCCCAGTCTCTCTATTACTTAAGTCTTAATATTGTATTAATATATTGTTCGAGCAATACATGCTCGGAAATGATCGGATATTAAGCATTTTAAATCTTTTCCAAGATTGAAGGATTAACAGAGCTGTTCAGAACTGATAAGTACATAAGCTATGAATATGAGAACCAGTACTATCATTACTCCAGCGGGCAACATGAACCAAAATTTTTGCGCGGTCATTGGCTATCCGGGCGAGCGAGCAAGGCGCTATCTTGCTTGCTCGGGATCGGGATTACGCGCTTGTCCAGAGCGCGAAGTTCATTTTTTTTGGTGTTCCTTATCCCATATAATAAATCCTTTATTGACCAAGCTTGTTCGGTCAAGATGGCTGGATATTGGCCTCGTTCCTTTTTTTTGCGTGTTTATGGTCATTGACTCCGTCCCGGTACATAAACGCGCAATAATAATGATAAAAAAAATAAAATAACAAAAGGACTTGGCCAATATCCAGGCATCTTGACCTCTCGTTTGGTAAACAACCCATATTTCTTTTTCATGAGACCGATGTGTTGTTGAATAACATTATTTTTTTAAATTGACTGAATGTTATTTTTATTAATTGACTGAATGTTATTTTTATTTCCACGATATTCAACTCGGTGAGATTTCCGAGTCAATGGTAGTCGTCTTTACTCAGTTGATACCCCGCAGTACGAAGTTTACCAACACAACGCAAGTTTTGGGGAGATTTGACGGTATTTTCTTTGATTCGTGCCGAACGTTCCAATTTAAACACGGCTACGTTATTTTGTAGGTCACTGACACGGTCTCACACATTTTGTGGTTCCAAGCAAGTAACAATACCATACAAAATCCCCCGAACAAAATGATTGAATGATCTAGTCTTTTTGCTGTTTCTTGTCAAAGTGTTCCTGGACTGGAGCAAATAATTTGTCCGTCAAAATAACAATGTAATTGGTTCTTTGCCAAAGTTCAACAGTTCACTAATGGACTAAAGTGCTTATCTCGATTAAAACTTTCAGGTATTGCCAGCTTTGTCTTGTGGCATGTGTTACAGTACTCATGGGGCATCTAATAAGCCGTTGAATTGATAAAAAGTTAGATTTCAATTAAATCCATTTATGTGATAATAGGCCATTATCGATAAATTAAAATTCTAATATGGTTCCGAGGCTTGGGGGTTGGGGGGGGGGGGGGGGGGGGG